GTCTTATTCCCTTTGAGGAGTTTCACAGCCTAATTCTGATATGACTAACACAATAATAAGTAGCAAAATACAAAAGAGAAAGTACAGTATCTGGTGAAAATGAGAGTGTAACTAAACTAAAATGGCCCCAAAATTAAGATGTAAAACACCTGTACAGGGAGTCTAACTTCGGTTTGGTCAGTAAGGCCTATATTGTTGCTTTCTGCCCCCTCTGGGAGCAGAATTTTATAAAGACAAGAACATACCTGATCTTCATTAAGGTAGTTGGGCAGCCCTCCAATAAAGATCTTATGAGGTGAATCAGGCACCACAGTTGAAACCACACCTGCAATAACTGTAGAAATTTTTTTATGTAAAACACATTTAAAAAATCAAGAATTATAAACATCTCATATTTCAATAGCACAGTACTGTAATTACATCTTAAATTAAAAAATAAAATGAAGTCGGAATACACACAAACATATATCGTGAATTCACCTACAGATGACTGCATAATGAGTTTGGTTTATTCAACATTATAAAACCTCGATATAACTTTTAACTGGTTTATTCAAAATTATAAGTTCTCAACATTGCAACTTTTAATAAGATTTTTATTAGCCAGTGCATTACACACACTGACAATGTACTATATACTGTAGCACACATTAAACATTACTTGACTCTATAATAAATTATTTTGAAGGATGAAAATAAAGCCTTTCTGCATCAGGGTCTAATGTCCCAATAGAAATGGCCAACAACTGTAAACATCAACTTTAATATCTTTCGTTAGACCTCATTTAGAGTATGCTACTCAGTTCCTGCATCCATATTACAAGATGGACATCAATGCACTCAAAAACACAGAAGGATGACAGATGACAAAGTCAATTCCATGTACTGTATTAGAAACAAAGACTGAAGGCCTTGCAACATGCACAGAATTAGAGGAAATATGATTTCAGTGTACAAACAGAAAACAGGAATAAATAAAGAGGATATAAATAGTGCTAGAAATAACAAAAAGGCACAATATCATGACTGGAACAATACACAAATAACCCACACATAGGAGAGAGGAGCTTACGATGACATTTCAGTCCGACTTGGACCATTTACGAAGTCATACTAACAGAGGATAGAAGGACTTGCAGCAATGGATTCAAGTTGGAGAAACTTAGACTTAGAAAGGATACTGGAAGTACTGGTTTGGCAATACAGTTGTAGATGTGCAGAACTCTCAGGTAGCATCACTGAGGCAAGAACTTTGAGTACCTTTAAAAATAGACTGGACAGGTACAACTGGGTATGAGTTGAACTTGCCTAATAGGGACCAGTAGGCCTGCTGCAGTGTTCCTTCATTCCCCTTGAGGGTCCGTGCCATACATCTACGGCTTTACGTTGAGGGCCCAAACCGTAGATCTACGTCATGAGCTCAGCTCACTCTGTTAAGCTGTGAGCGTTAAATTTTGGCCTTGATATGAGAGAATACATCTATATGGCATGTGTGCACCACATAAAACAAATCCTGCAGCACACAGTGCATAACGAGAAAAAAAAAGACCGTAATTTTGGATTAAAACAGCGACTGCAGTGTTTTTTCGGATGTTTTTTAAAGTTGTATTTGCGATTTCTTGGTCTCATTTGATAGAATGGAAGATATATTACAGAAATAGAGATGATTTTGATTAGTTTTAGTACTGGAAATGGCTTGAAACTGAGCTCAAAGTAGCAGAAATGTTAAATTTTTGCTGATGTTCAAGAGTAAATAAATGACCTTACACGTCTAACACACGCCTGCTGGTGGGTCTAATATACGTTCACAAATGTGCTGATATTATTTATACAATTATTACAATATTGCATAACAGTAAACCTTCTATTTTTTGGTTTGAATAAAAATTCATTTGTGAATAAAAAATCAAAATGGAATTCATTAGTAAAGCCTGAAAACTTAACTAATGAACAGAGGAAATGTTAGTTTAGTGCCAGGAATGCCTGCATTGTTTATTCTGGACCCCATTTTGAAATTGGAGTACTATTTTGAACTTTGCATTAAATTGGCCAAATTATCAATTTCCGATCACATTATTTTGTAGTTGAAACAGTCAACTTGGCGAATTCTTGTGCTCAATTTATAGAATAGAAGTAATACTAGTGAAATAGCTAAGAATTGGGTCGACTGGAATAACGTAATTGGCCTAAAATGGGAGTCAAATTCTGCAAAATCGCCAATGCGTAAATATCGCTGACACATCAAAATTCGCAAGCATAATTTCATCAATTTTCCATCAAATTTCGTACTTTTTGTTTTATTACCTTCAGAAAAAGATTCTCTACCAGTTCATAAGAAAAAATAACAAAATTATTTTTTTTAAATTCTTGGACACTGGTGCACCCTTTGAAATTTGGCCTCTGGACCTTGAAAGGGTTCATAACCAAGTGGAAACCATTACAAGACAGCTGGGGCATTGCAGACTGTGATCATCAGGCTGACATGGAAATATATTTTTCATCCTTTAAGATCACTTATCCTGCTGTGGGGATCTGATGACTCACTTGGAGGTGCACCCCTTGAACCCTAATCACAGAAAAGGCAGTTAAACAAAGGAGACAGGATTCCATAGACAGAGGAGCTCTTGGCCAGAGATATGAGTTGTTCAAACCCAACTGCAATACAACTCACCAACCCAGATGCAAATGCTGAGGATCTCTTTAATACTAGAGCAAAGCCAGGTACCCAATTATAGGGCCTAGCCAAAGACAGCCACTACTAGGCAGAAAAATTCACTGACCAGGTGCAAACCTAGGATTACCTCTAGTGGAGCCTAGGTCACTAAGGCCATTGAGTCAGTCATGAAACTGTGTTGGAGCAGACCAAAAATCAGTTTCAAAAGTTCCTGAACAATATGACAGTGCTTTTTCAAGCAAACATTTAAAGGGCCTTGTTATCCGGTAGAGTGAGAGGAGACATATGGCCATTGTGTTTATATTGCTAGCAATGCTGTAATACTCATAAAAATTAACTTTTTACTAATGAAGAAGTATAAATACCACCATTTTCTTAGGTGAAACTTAATTTGTAGTACCAGTACTTACAGTGTCCACAAAGTAGAAATTTTTTACAAGGTTTTATGTGAACTATAATCATCCAACTAAAATAGAAAAAGATCTCAAATACCCCACACCATGGAGAAATGAGACCAATTTTTTTTTATATTATTCTACCAACATAACTGTGTAGCCTAAGAAAGAACTTGGTGAATTTGTACATATATTATCCCTTTTCATTATTTTTTAAAATGTTTGAAGAGAATACATGTTATATTTACCATGTATTTTCCTATAATATTTTCAGTCTTTAATGCTGCACTTGAAATCAATATTGGAGGTATCTGCAAAATTTTGATGGTTACCAGTATTGCCGTAAAATTAAGTATCAGTGAATATCAACTCTTTTTATGGTATTTACATCGCTGGGTATTGGATAATTTTGATGGCATCAGTGCTGGCCTAAAATTGACTGTCAGTATCAGTACTGGCAAAAATTTGGTATCATCCCATCCCTGCTTGATGTAGTGCAAGAACACAACTAAGAACCACTCTGGGATAATCTTACATGGGTGCAGATGCTACACAAGAGACATGCATTCATAGTGCAAATGACACACAAATGACCATAGCCATCTGCAACGTGTGAAGGACCAAAACCACGACAGAATAGGCAATCTCTGACATGCTGCTACTGTCCAGAAAGTTGCTGTTGCCCACATTATGTTGTCAGATACAACAAAAGGGTGGGTGGGAAGGTGTGGGAAAAGGGGGAAGGGAACTGGGAAAGAGAGATGTGGTCCTGTTGCTTCTGTTTGTAACATTAGATGTGATTGAAGAAAGGGAGACATGTGCTGCTGCCGTCCATGCCGTGTTGTGTCAGGTGGGACGAGTGAAAAGGATAAGCCTCTTGTTGCCACTTGTGCTGTTGTCAGATAAGACTAGGGGAAAGCAAAAGAAAGGTAGGGTCAAGAATAGGAGATAGGGAAAGGGCGAAGTAAAGAGGGACTCATTTCGGAACATTTTTTTTATTACACTGATAAACAATATATTATATACAGAATAATAGTTTTAGAATGCTTCTCCAATTATAACTTGGAAGTGCACAGGACAATACGTTCAAGTTCCGAACACCTGAGCTAAAAAAAAAAAAATATCCACGAACTGTAAGAGTTGTAATTAGGAGGGGACCTACTTTCTGTTCCAATATTAGCACCTTACAGAGCATTTTAAGTTTGAAGATTTAACAAGAAATACATGTAGCACCAAAATCTTTTTAAATGAAACTGAAACCTACTCAGTCTATTAGGAATTTGAACCTTTCTCTAAGATACACTAGTATTGAAAGTTTGAAGACAATCAAAAGAGGCATCCTCCAAGTTATTCTACAGAAAATTTCACTAAAAATGGGGAAAATAAAAGTATTCCATAATCAATACCATTATGCACTACGTTAAAATATCAATGTAATGTTCAATGCACTGATTTTAAATGATAACATTTGAGTGACTCATTTCTGCAGTCATTTAGACAATACCTTCAATATGTCTGGTGGACTCCGCATGTTTCATACCTGGAATCTGTGTCGTACCTGGCATGGTAGTCAGAGTTGGATGCTCAGACATGCCTGGCATTGGTTGATAATCATGAGGTCGTCTGATTTTTAAACTCTGCCCTTTAAAATTAATACCATCAAAAGCAATTGCTTGAGTAGTTTCGTCAATTGATCGGAATTCCAAAAATGCAAAATTCTTGTCTAGGTTGACCTGCAGTGAGGAAAGTTAATGCTTATGAAGCTACAACTTACCTATAAATACTTCATTCCTCTATTAATTTAAAAACTAACCTGTATGCATATTTATCTTCAAATACCTGTACATGTATGTTAGTTATTGGAAAGTAAATGTACTAGTAATGTATGCCCTTGTAGCTTGTAATCACCTTCAAAAAGAATTACGAATTATTTAATGTATTATTATTATTATTTATTATCACACTGGCCGATTCCCACCAAGGCAGGGTGGCCCGAAAAAGAAAAACTTTCACCATCATTCACTCCATCACTGTCTTGCCAGAAGGGTGCTTTACACTACAGTTTTTAAACTGCAACATTAACACCCCTCCTTCAGAGTGCAGGCACTGTACTTCCCATCTCCAGGACTCAAGTCCGGCCTGCCGGTTTCCCTGAACCCCTTCATAAATGTTACTTTGCTCACACTCCAACAGCACGTCAAGTATTAAAAACCATTTGTCTCCATTCACTCCTATCAAACACGCTCATGCATGCCTGCTGGAAGTCCAAGCCCCTCGCACACAAAACCTCCTTTACCCCCTCCCTCCAACCTTCCCTAGGCCGACCCCTACCCCGCCTTCCTTCCACTACAGACTGATACACTCTTGAAGTCACTGTTTCGCTCCATTCTCTCTACATGTCCGAACCACCTCAACAACCCTTCCTCAGCCCTCTGGACAACAGTTTTGGTTAAGAGGATCACACTGCTTGAGGGAATGATGGCCTACATGGGAGAGGCTGGCAGTAATTCTCAGCATGGGGGGGATGGGGGGGGGGGGGCTGACATGGGCTAACAAGATCTTCATTAAGATATGTGGGCATGAGAGATTGCTGCCCACTTTGGTGCAAAAGGCACCTCCTCCTAACTTCCAAACTACGAATTCTCTGCATTATATTCACACCACACATTGCCCTCAGACATGACATCTCCACTGCCTCCAGCCTTCTCCTCGCTGCAACATTCATCACCCATGCTTCATACCCATATAAGAGCGTTGGTAAAACTATACTCTCATACATTCCCCTCTTTGCCTCCAAGGACAAAGTTCTTTGTCTCCACAGACTCCTAAGTACACCACTCACCCTTTTCCCCTCATCAATTCTATGATTCACCTCATCTTTCATAGACCCATCCACTGACACATCCACTCCCAAATATCTGAATACATTCACCTCCTCCATACTCTCTCCCTCCAATCTGATATCCAATCTTTCATCACCTAATCTTTTTATCCTCATAACCTTACTCTTTCCTGTATTCACTTTTAATTTTCTTCTTTTGCACACCCTACCAAATTCATCCACCAATCTCTGCAACTTCTCTATTATATCAAAAAAATGCTGGAACAAAACTCAACAGAAATGCCCTTAGTTTTATCTTCGGAAAAAGTTAAGGAAACTTTTAATTTGAAATAAATACTGAAGTACTTTTTCTAATTTTGGTGAACATTAAGTTACATAGACTGAATATCAACATGCTGCAAAATGTACTGGTACCACTTAAAGAAACTGAGATCTGATATATCTATAATTTAAATGGCTTTGAACATAAGTTACAAATATTATTAGTATGTTATCTTAACAAACTTTATTTTTAGCAACTGGCCATCACCATTTCTACTACTTAAATTTTTTATATTACCAAAATCATCCAAAATGCAATAAAGACAATTTGTAGTCGATTAATCGTATTCCACAGACTACCTATTACGTATTTAGTCTGAGTTATAAGCCACAAGTCACATTACACAAAATTTTAAACTGCAAAATCCCAAAAGGACAAAGGGCCATGATAAACAGCCAATAATGCAATCATATTACTCTACGTCAGTAACTATTCCTCTACACATAAATACTGAAAATATTAAGGTGTGAAAAAGCTTGATAACTTAATATGGTCCAAATGCATTTGTCCTCCATTATATAGTTTCTTTTTCACCTCAATGATCAGGTCCCAGTAAGGAAGGGTGACCCAAAGATGAGACACTCACCAGCATTCATTTTATTACTACCATTTCAGAAGTGTGCTGACATTACAATTTACCCTACCAGCTGACTGCAACATCCCTACTCCTTCAGTGTGCTGGCACTGCCCTTTGTTCCCTCCAAGACAAGGATGGCCAACTGGTTTTCCTAAATCTCTTCATAAATGTTACTTTTCACACTCCAAGAGCATGTCGATTAAAAAACAACTTGTCTCCATTCACTCTCATCTAGCAAGAATTACAGTACATAAATACATTTAACAGCTTCACCCTTTCCTTTCTTTCATACTACTCAAAGAGAGAGAAAGAGGGGCATTAAAATATATACGGTATTGGCGAATTATATATAAATGATTAAATTAGTTCATCATCATAAAACCCATTATGAAACTTCATTACAAACCTGACAAGCAAGAACTGGGTTTCCAGCAGCTTGGGCAAGACCAGCAAGATGCATCTGCTGGTTGAAGAATTCCATCATCTCTTCCTCTGTTACACCAAATGGAATATTTCCCACATACAGACGACGTGCTTGTCTGGTGATGGTGGAACCAACAACTGGTACTGGCTGGGGAACATTAGTAACTTCTGGAACTGAAGGAACAACTGCAACTAATGGTGGTATCTGTCCTGCACTAGGTGGTGCAATTAGAGGTACTGTCACATTAGATGGGATTTGTCCAGCAGCTGTAAACAAAAAGTAAAATAATTAGTGTTTTGTTGGGAGACAGCCAACATGTTAAAAAAAAAAAAAAAATCTGACTTTGAAAAATCATAATTCCAAAAGCACCAAATACAAACTAAAATAATTAATGCCCAGACTTATCAGACTGAAAAATTATAGTTCCAATTGCACCAAATATCAAAAATATACACACAATCATTTAGGAAACTAATGGAAAGTAGAAAATTTTCAAAACATCCCTCTTAAAGATAAAGTACATGGGATAAAGGAAATCCCATGGTAACATCAAGCATTCAATGACAATAGAAAAATTAATTACAATCAACACTAAATGGAATAAGATCAAGAAAGACACTGGTAGAATAGAGATGTAGTAGTCCCTCTGTGGCCTATAATGCATTAAGATTCAGTACCTTACAGATAAGGAACAGAACACTAGATTTGAGAGTTTTCGAGAGATCATTAACCCCTTGACTGTCGCAACCCCAAATCCTGAGGTGTCTCCTGGTGTCACAAAATTTCCGAAAAAAAAAAAAAAAATTCTTATAAAATGAGAGAGAACCTTTTCCCAATTGTAACAACACAAAAACGAAATTTGATGGAAAACTGGCGGAATTACGCTCTCGCAAAGTTAGCGACCTCAGTGATTTTGACGAATCGGCGATTTCACCCACTTTAAGCCCTATTTTCGGGTAATTCCATTGTTCCAGTCGATCAAACTCAGCTATTTCTTTAGAACTCCATTTGTTCTATCGATTGAGTAAAGGAAACTGCCCATTTACCAATTTCAACTACCCAATAACATGGTCAGAAATTTGCAATCTGGCCAATTTCATGAAAATTAAAAAAAAATGACAATTTCAAAATAGGGTCCAGAATGAACAATGCAGACATTCCTGGCTCTAAAATAACATTTTCTTAGCTCATCAGTCATGTCTCCAGGCCCCTCTGATATTACTGTTGCTTCCTATTTTGAATTTTTATTCAAACAAAACACTGAAGATTTATTGTTATGCAGACTACTGCAATATTGTAATAATTGTATAAATAATGTCAACCAATTCATGCCTGCATATTAGAATGGTTAGTTGGGCATTTATTGGACAATGACACCATATGTTTACTTTTGAGCATCAGCAAAAATCAAACATTTACCCTACTTTGAGCTCCATTTCAAGGATCTTTTCATAGTAAAACCAATAAAAATCATCTCTATTTCTATAATACGTTTTCCATTCTATCAAACGAGACCAAGAAAACAAGAATACAACCATAAATACTATACGAAAATAGACCACAAAGTCGGCATTTTAATTAAAAAAAAAAAAAAAAAAATTCTCATTATGCACTGCGTGCTGCAGGATTTTTTTATATGGTGCACATTGACCACACAGCCCCATTCTCTCACATGTGGGTCTACCAGCTTTCTCCTGCTTGATTTGATGCCTCTAGAATTATTGAGTATATGTACGTCTGAAACACTGGCTCGTAAGACATATATATACGGCCGAAACAGTCAAAGGGTTAATCATGGACAAGGTAGTTAGCAGGGAACAAATAATAAACATTTTGCAAGATAAAGTCGGGGATAGGCAGAGATTAGTCCATAGTTTGTTGTTGAATATTACCTTCATGAGCTAAAAGTAAGTTGCTGACAACAAAGTAAGTGCAAGCAATGAGAGTACAAGGTCCCACAACTTTCTGAAAGTAGTCTTCATGATTAAAGAAAAGTGAACTGCCTGTCTGGCTAAATACCAATGGTGTAGTCAACTTTAGAGAACATTACAAGGTAAAAGCAATGTGGGTAGTGGCAAACCCTAGAAAATAGGCTGTCAAAGTAAGAGGTAAGAGCCCCCATGAAAGGTAGACTTACTCTCAGGAGGTAAGAATTTATACAAAAAGTTAAATGATACAAGAAACTGATTCAGGAAGCATGCAGGAGAAATACAGGTGCTAGAAGTACATATATTTAAATTGTATGTATAAAAAAGGGCTAGGTAGTAGGCTGGTAGACAGCAACCACCCAGGGGGGTACTACCATCCTGCCAAGTGAGTGTAAAACGAAAGCCTGCAATTGTTTTACATGATGGTAGGATTGCTGGTGTCCATTTTTCTGTCTCATGAACATGCAAGGTTTCAGGTATGTCTTGCTACTTCTACTTACATTTAGGTCACACTACACATACATGTACAAGCATATATATACAGTACATACATACCCCTCTGGGTTTTCTTCTATTTTCTTTCTAGTTCTTGTTCTTGTTTATGTCCTCTTATCTTCATGGGGAAATGGAACAGAATTCTTCCTCTGTAAGCCACGCATGTCGTAAGAAGTGACTAAAATGCCGGGAGCAAGGGGCTAGTTACCCTTTCTCCTGCATATATATTACTAAATGTATAAGGAGAAACTTTCCTTTTTCCTTTTGGGCCACCCCACCTCGGTGGGATACGGCCGGTGTGTTGAAATAAAAGTATAAAAAAAGGTCAGTTTCAATAAGACCAGGCTTGTACATATCTATATACAGTGGACCCCCGGTTTTCATCCAGTGCAGAAATCATACAATTCGGATTTTGAGCACTTTTTGCGGCAAAATTTTCCCCCGGGATTCGTACATCCGCTCAGAAATCTTTCATATCAGATGCATCCACCCAACTGGGATGCCGCTTCTCGCGTGTACCAGACTCAGTCTGCCCCCCCCCCCCCCCCGTAGGTAAAATGAAAGGGGGTAAGGCAGCCGGGATTGATGGGATAAAGATAGAAATGTTAAAAGCAGGTGGGGATATAGTTTTGGAGTGGTTGGTGCAATTATTTAATAAATGTATGGAAGAGGGTAAGGTACCTAGGGATTGGCAGAGAGCATGCATAGTTCCTTCTGGGGTTTGGGCAGGAGCATGCTTTATTTCCCTTTTTTAAAAAGGGCAAAGGGGAAAAAAAGAGAGTGCAAAAAATTATAGGGGGATAAGTCTGTGGGGAAACCCTGGTAAAGTGTTTTGGTAGAGTTATTATTGAAAGAATTAAGGAAAAGACGGGAATAGGTAGCATTTGAAACAAGGGACTTTGGGAAAAGGGGAGGGGGGGGTGTGGCCCGGTGTTTACAGGGGAAACATATAAGTGAACAGTATTTAGATAAGGTTTAAAGGGGTTTTTGGGTTGGCATTTATGGTTTTGGGGAAAAGGCGTTTTTTGACAGGGTTTGGTTAGGGGGGCAAGTGGCGATTTTTGCAAGTGTATGGTGTAGGAGGTGGGTTTAAACTGAAAAGCGGGTGAAGAGTTTTTACGGGGGTTTAGTGGGGGGGAACCCCAAGTTAGAGTATGTGGGAAAAGAGGGAAAATTATTTCCCATTTAAAAGTGGGCCCTTTAAAGACAAGGTTTGTGTGTGTCCCCCGTGGTTGTTTAATATATTTATAGAGGGGGTTTGTAAGAGAAGTAAATGCGAGGGTCTTACAAGGGCGTGGATTTTAAAAGATAAAAGAATCAACCCAAAGTTGGGAGTTGTCACAGCGTCTTTGTGATGCCCACTGTGCTCTTGGGAGATTCTGAAGAGAAGTTGCAGAGTTTTGGTTTTTAAAATTTGGTTTGGGTGTGAAAAAGAAAAAAATTAAAGGTAAAATTACAGGAAAGGGGTAAGGTTATGAGGATAAAAAGATTAGGTGATGAAAGTTTGGGGAATTTTTCAGTTGGGGGGAGAGTTTTTTTTTTTTGGGGGGGGGGGGGAAGGTGTTTTGTTTTCAGATATTTGGGGTGGGTGTCAGCGGATGGGTCTATGAAAATGGGTGAATCATAAAAATTGTTGGGGGGAAAAAGAGTGAGGGGTGCACTTAGGAGTCTGTGGGGGAAAAAGGGAATTTTGGGCCTTTTGGAGGCAAAGAGGGGAAGGTATGAGAGTATAGTTTTACCAACGTCTTATTGGGTTGAAGTTGGGGGGATGAATGTTGCAGCAGGAAAAGGTTGGAGGCGTGGAGATGTCTTGTTTGGGGCAATGTGTGGTGTAAATTATAATCAGAAAATTGAAAAAGTTTGGAAGTTAGGAGGAGGTGGGGGGATTACCAAAATGTTGTCCAGAGGGCGGGAGGAAGGGTTGTTGAGGGGGTTTTCGGACATGTAGAGGGAAAGGAGGGAAAAAACAGAATAAACTTCAAAAAGTGTATCGGGTCTGTGGGGAAAGGAAGGGGGGGGTTTAGGGGTGGGCCCAAAGGGGAAAGGGTTGGAGAGAGGGGGAAAAGGAGGTTTGTGTGGGGGGGGGCGGGACTTCCAGCAGGTTTTCACGAGCGTGTTTGATGGGGAGGAAGGGGAGAAAAATGGTTTTTAATATTGGTGCTTTTGGGAGTGTGAGAAAAATTAACATTTATGAAGGGGTTCGGGAAACCGGCGGGGCCGGGGACTTGGCCCTGGAGAGGGGGAAGGGACAGTGCCTGCACTCTAAAGGGGAGGGGTTTTAAATGTTGCATTTTAAAAAACTGTATGAAAAAGCCCCCTTCTGGCAAGAAGTGATGGAGTGTTGATGGGGGAAAGTTTTTCTTTTTGGGGGGGGGGCCACCCTCCCTTGGGGGGAAAAATGGGCCCAGTGTGATAAAAAAATTTTTTAAAATTATTGTTGCGAAAAATTTAACCCCACCACGGGGGCAAAAAAAAAGTTCAGAGTTTTCACCCCTTTGGTAAAGGTGAAAAAACAATAAAATTTCAAGAAAGAATTTCATAGAATAAGATGCAAAGTTTTGTGGAGAAATACACTCCACCCTCTACAAAGGAGGGGGGTTGGTGGGTGGTGGTGGTTGAGGGGTGGTAGTGTGGCAAAAAAATTGAAGATGCTGAGTTGTTGTTTTTTGAAATGGACCCCCCCCCAAAAAAATTTTTAGCAGGAGATATTTGGTGGATGTGAAAACTTGCAAAATGGCAAGGCAGTTTAACGTGGATCTCGTAAAAAATATCCCAAAAAGAGTCTTAAATTAAAGGTTTAAAAACTGATTTAAATGTTCATTTTATCCTTTAAAAATTTTAGA